GTTGCTTTTATAATAACAAATAAAGACAAGGAATACAGTAATTACCAGAATCTTTTTTTTTTGCTGTGGACAGTCAATGAAACTTAACCCTACTTTTTAATACTAATGGTACTACTGCAACAAATAATTTCTGTATTTTAATTAGATTATTAAACACATAAAAATCAGACAATGTACTATGACTATCACAATTTTTCTGGCTTTCTCACTATGCAACAAGAGCCATTAAAACTTCATCTAAGTTTGTCTATGTGTTTCTCGTGGGAATAAAGCTTGAACTAAAAGTAAATTGACAATTCTCAGTACAGAAAACAACATAATATAATACATCATTAGATAGATTAAAACTTTGGCTTTCTATTGATTATAAATAATATAGTATTAAACATTAAATAGAATTATTAGCAATATTTGAAAGAGAGGATGTGACAGGTGGGCATGGCAGAAGAGGTCTGATTTTCTACTTTATGGCTCTGTAACTTAGAAGATTGAAGGCTATAAAATTTAAGCTTTGTCTGAGTAACAACAATATTATAATTAATAATTTACGTTAAATTTCATACTTCTTTGAGGAGGTGGTAAACATATTAGAGGAGAGGGAAAACATAGAAAGCAAATGTCACAGATCTCAATACTGAGGTTATTTTTTAATATTTCTTTTAAAGTTAAGAACTTAAAACTTACATAATATGGAAATCTGATTTATTAATTACATTTTGTTGTTAAGTTTATTCATATACATTGATAATAAAGTAGTTTACTTAAACTTTATATGTAATTCTGTAAAAGGTTGACACATACACTTGGGCTACCAAATGGGAAAAGGTTAAAATTGATAAGTTCACTGTTTGGTGAACTTAATTCTTAAGATTTTAACCTTTTCTATTCTTAGTCACCTTTGATCAAAAAATTAAGAACAGTTCAAGCTTTGAATAACAGTCATAATCACTTAATCCTAGATGAAACAAACCAATGAGATTATTGACCTTTACACTGTTATGTGACAAAAATATCAACTCTTCCAAAAGGGAAGAAATCATCAATGTCAAGCTTCACTTTGGTTGTGATAATTTCCTCTAGTCTTACCTTGGTTCAAATGCAGAATTTTGTTGCATTAGTTTTACAAATAAATTGTGACTCTGTTCAGTCGTTACGGAAGAAAATCTTGCCGAAGGACGATCGTAGAGAACTGTTGCACTATAAAAATCAACAAGGATACAAACATCTGTTTTAAAAATATATCAAAACCTTGCCACAAAATAAGCAGATCTATTGTACTATAACCAGACAAATATTTGATCAGTAAAAACCTTTGAAACGAGAAAATATTCTGAAAATATTACAACTTTTGTAGGTGATCTTGTGTGCTAACTACTGAATCTAAACTTTCACTTTAAATGGATATGAAATTAGTGTCTTCTGAAGAACGCATCAGAAAAAAAAGAGTATAACCAAACACATAACAAGAAAATATATAAACCAGGATTACTTAAGTGGTCATATAGAGAAATGTGTGTTTACTGTACATATACTACACATATTAAAAAATAGATTACAATGAAAATTACTTTACATTGAAGCTGACCACAAGTCACTCTGTTCAATGAAAATAAGAGGTATATATGTTATAAAATAACATTCTCTCCGTGCAATGCATGTACCAGGACTGTTACAAACAGGTCACAAGAGTCACCTGATGCAAAGAAAATGTTACAGTGTTAAAAACAGGTTACAAGAGTTACTTGGTGCAAAGAAAACACAAGATTGTGTTACAAACTGGTCATAAGAATCATTCAGTGCAATAAAGTTATCAGGTCTATTTACAAACAGTCAATTCATGCAATGAAAAGAACAGGTTTGTGTACAAAAAGATTGCAAAAATCATATGCAATGAATACAACAGATTTGTTTACAAACAAACAAAAGGTTTATAACATACCCTCATCACCTATTTCAACTAAATTAACAATTTCCTTTACAAATAGATAAGATATACATCATTCAATATGATTTGTTTTCCTCAAATTACTAGAAGCTTGAAACAGATTACTCAAGTTCTATTGTTACAAACAAAACCTCTAAACATACTTACTTGATATTCCACTTAGCACTAAGATCATGTTTCATTGCCTTGGTAACACAAAAATGGCCAAATGCTTTTGCTCCAAAGAAGCCTTCACACCTGTGATTAACAATAGGATACAGATAAACATAGAATCACTAGTGAAGTTTTAAATGCTCTCACACACTGTTTATATAACTCATACGTGGCTGTAACCTATTTAAAAATACAGACATCCTTATAGACCAATGTTCCATAGTCTTCTCTCAAAACTACTGTTTCACTGTGTTTATATAACTCATGTTTGGGTGGCAACATGACAGTGAAAACAGTAGTTTTTAGAGAATACCTTAGAACATCAGCCTATAAGGATGCATGCATCTTATGGTGTTCTACACAATTTATATAACTCATGTTTGGGTGGCAACATATGTGTAGAACACCATAAGATGCATGCATCCTTATAAGCTGATGTTCTAAGGTATTCTCTAAAAACTACCCTTTCACTGTGTTTATATAACTCACATTCATGTGGCAACATACCTGTACGATGTTGTAATATACAAATGTCCTTATAGGCTGAGGTTCCAAAGTCTTCCCTCAAAGCTACCATTTCACTATATAACTCACATTTAATTGACAACATATGTGTAGAATGTTGTAAAATACAAATGTCCTTATAGGCTGAGGTTCTAAAGTCTTCCCTCAAAGCTACTCTTTCATGGTGTTTCTACAACTCGCATTGTAAATGAAAAACAAAAGTAGACTAAAAAGTAGCTTTTGTTTCAAAAATTAACAGATCTATATATTTTAATGTATTAGCATTTCATGATGTACATGTATTATCATAATACTTATAGATATAAACAATCAAGTTATACAGTAATTCATAATGATTATATATATATACATACTCAGATTGGTGTTACACAATAGTAATTATACCCGTATTCTGGTCTGCACACTATCTGGCACTGTTTGTACACCTGTTTCATCAGTGCTATACAATATTTGCTATAATAAATATGATATTGAACCATTCATATGATATCTTCTGTTATATCTGAGATGCTTACATTAGTGCCGTTCATAGAAGTGTTTTTCGTGGCACAAGTCTTGCAATTTTATAAGAAAAATCTTCCACATATAGAAATTTATAGCAAAAAAAAGGGCAAGAATATACAAATTAAAGTCAATTTTTCAAATTTATAGGAATCTGGGCAAAAATATAGGAGATTATAAGAATCACTGCAAAGACTACTTTTCTTTTGAAATTATTCAATCCCTAAACATGTGAAATAAAAATACAGTGAGTAAACAAATGTTTTCAAACTGAGAAAACAACACAAGAAGATATCTTACCATTTACAAAGTTTCACCAGTAGATGGCATTCTCCAAGAGTTAAGCTTAAGATAGTGTAGCCATAATTGTGCCAATCCACAATCATCTTACAGCTAGGGAACAAGTAGCAATAAAACCACACAAGAGGAAGAGTGGGTATCGATGGAGGATTCTGTAAAAAGTAAAAGATGAAAATATATTTCTAAACCTTTAGAAGTATCTTAGGTTAATCAATTAACTAACAGTAAAAACATTTTTAATATTCAATAAATTTATGTTACCCAATATCCAAAATGAAAGCTTCATGTGTAATTCAGCTACGTTATTTGTTAAAGCAAAACCTTTTTGCTTTGGCTAATTTGTATTAAAGCTAGACTATACCTGGAAATATCGTTAGGCATACACAAAAACACTAAATGGAGATTAAGTTATTCTTTAGAAGTAAACATATGGTTTGTTACAGATTAAATTCACTTTTTAGAAGTAAACATAAGGTCAGTCACGCCAAATAATACAGATACCCAGCTAAATATTCTTTGCATTAATTATCACCTAATTCTTATAAACTGACTATATCGTTAAATTTTGTTTCTAAATTCTTCTCATTAACCCTTTCAAGATGTGTCTCGGGTGAAAGGCCATGTCATCTTGTTTGTTGACTCAAAATTTTATTGAACTACTATCTCATGAATTTGTCAATAAGTTTGGTATCAAACTGTAAATTATAATTCAAATTTTAGTACTATACATTACTCAATTTCTTAATTTCAAAGAAAATATTAAAAAAAAAAACAGATAACCATCGATTTTTGTGTGTGTCACGTGTTATGTTGATGAAGCACTGGTTCAAATTAGATGTTTGTGAAGTCAAAATACTAAACCTATAGTTTTGTATGAATTAGAAACTCAAATTACAGATTTTGACAAGCTATAATATAAAATAAGAACGTATTATCTTTTCTATTTACTAAGATATTTCTCAAGTAATAAATCAAACACATTGGCACCCTGCCCACCTCTTTCTATTTTTGGAAATGCTCCCTTATATACACTTACTTCTAAATATGACATGAATAACCAATCGGAAGCTCAGAATGTCCCCCTAGTCACTTTCTCAGTCATTTTAACAGGCTTGGCACCATTTTTTTTCTTTTGAACCAATATTACAACGAGGTAGGATGTGTCTTTAGTATGCTCAAAATTTCATATTTGTTTAGACTAAAATACATCTTAGTTACTAAACCTGATAAATTATAGATGAATTCTATGGTATTGATGTAGCAATTTATGATTTTTATAGTTATTCAAATGTATATATAAAACTTAAAAAAATTATTTTGTTTCATATCCTCCACATGCAAATTTTTTAAAGGCTTAGCAACCTACATCAAGCAGCAACCGAGTACAAAGGTCATAACTAGGAGATAATTGTTTGCTTTACTTCTTTGTATACCATTCTATGTTTTAAGAAAAATAAATTTAAGAATTTATTTCTCAAATAGCAATAATCTATATACATATATAATGTATAATAATTGAAATGTGACTGTATTTTACAAAATACTAGTCTACTAAAACACAGCCAAGACAAATAATGCTTGGAGACAGCATGAATGGGTAATGAAGAAAAACTTTAATAGAAGGTTTTCTTATCATCAGGTACAAGTAGTTTACACTGACAGATATATATATATATATATATATATACACAGTATAGGAACAAAGA